GAAGTGAAAATACACAATCCACCCACTGTTCAAAAGAACCGGAGATTCCACCCAGGAGAAAAATAAAGGCCTTTTTTCTCCTTCATCTCCCTCTTCTCATATTCACCTGAGATTATTCTCCATCATTCCGAAGTTCACATTCACACGTTGAGCTCTTTCGTCTCTTCCTCACCCACCGGACCTATTGAAGGACGTTACTGTCTCTTTCGTTTGCGACTTGCTTAATGCTGGAAGTGACCTATATACCTTGCATCCATCCTTGACAACCTCCGTGGACAAGACACGCTCTTACCGGGATTTGTTTCTTTTATTCTCTCGGAGCAAGAGCCATATAACCAACCCTGGGATTCCACCGCTCTTCTAAGTCGCCTTTCGTGTTCTGCATGTGTGCTTGTGTCAACCAAAAGTCGGATTAGCCTTATTTCTCAGCCTTGGAGTTTCCGGACGCTGTCTCATAGAACTGTACTTCGTGCTGTTTCTTCTTCCCCTCAAATCAACCCCCCATCTCCCTAAAAGAGACCATCTGCCACCACCTTCCTCTGGACCCGTCGGCTCTTCCTGATTTTCCCGGACCTCATTTGGCCATTTGGACCCGTTGCCTATAATTACATTAATACTGGAGACCGTTTCCTGGAACAAACAAAAACAAAAATGACTGGCCGTCTTGGATATGAGGGGCGCCCGGAGCGTCAAAACGAATACTTCATTCCTGGCGATGGTATCAGCCGGGAAGTCATCCAAGCAGACATTTGCCGTTACCTTGGAAATGATGCGCTCGTAAGACCCGGAAACCACAATGTCTGTGCCCCGCTGCTTTTCCTATGCAATTCTCTTAAGACTATACGAACAATGACGCGAACATTTGGGCGGGATCTGCCTTCTGGACGAATCAGTAACTGACTAGATGGGAAACAGGGTCGTCAGGGTTATTTCATTCGCGCCTACCGGAATCTCACCTCTGTATGTTGTATTTGGTTTTGTGGTATTTCCCAGGCGAAAAAGAACGTGTCCGACTAACATATGGCTTGTGCTGCAGGAAATGATTGCTGACCTCAAAAAAGACTCGGCTCGGTGGGAGGCCGATGTTCTACGTCGGGCTGACCAGGGCTATCCCAGAGGTAGCTACCAACAAGAATTAAGCTATTCCCAGGCACCCAGCATGCCCGCGGCGTCCTACCCGGTATCTGCCATTCATGAAGGACGTCAGCAGGGAGGGCCATCCCCTCCGCCTGCCTACTCAGCTCCTCCCCCTACTCAGCCATTCCCGGTGGATCCATATGCACAATCGTACCAGGCGACTCAAAGTCCCCCGTACCCACCTGCATCAACTTACACCGGCCCCAACCATTCACCCTATGGATCTGCCCCGAACCCCTACCCTAGTGGTCAGATCCCTTACACTACTTCCAGCCAACCTCCGGTGACTGCTGAAATGCACCCGTCGTCATACACGTATGGCCCTGGCTATGTTTATGAGAATGGAAGGAGCAATGCCCCCAGGTATCCCGGGCCTGGCTATGAAACCGAACAGGACTATTCTCCAGTTACCACCGGGATCCCTTACCCTACTACCACAGCCCCGGACCCTCGGATAGGAATGGATCCCAGATACACTCCTGAGGCATTATACCCTCCGGCAGACCGCAATAGGCCACAACCAGCCAGAGGCGGGGAAGCCCCTCGCCGGACTAGGTAAAGAAAGTCAATGTCTGCTTTCTACGGGCGTATATACTATGAACCCTTTGTCCTTAACAGTCTATATCGTACCTGGGATCTTGCAGATATATCCACACTTCTGCTTATCCTCAGAGCCCTGAAGGACCAATCTTCCTTTCTTTGCGTATAGGAACATGAGACCGGAAGGAAAAGCGTGCATCATCGTTTGTCGGAAACAATTTGCAACTACCGGAGCCACATCCTTGGATCATCGGATATTATTTCTCCTGGACATCCATCCATCTTATCTCTGATATACTCTTGACTTTCCACCCAACGTCCATGGAGACGTTGCCTCGCGCTCTTGGTTGGCCTGGTTATCGCTCCATTGCGCGAGGCACACGGCCGTCTTTTTCTTTGGTGTAAAGCTTGGTCGACCCAAGCTATAACGTGATGGATTTACGAGGAGGCATTTTGGCTTTGTCTGTTGTAATTCCAGCCATTGCTGTGCTTTGTCTCTTTTCTGCCTTGCTGGGTTTTGGTTTCCATGGTCTGGTTATTCTGTGGTGTATTGGTCGTGGAATTCTCATGCGTTTGTGCCACAGTCTTCATTCTTCGATCGGTGTTTTTCGACCATCTCCTACATGTTGAGTCCGATGGAGCGCCAACTGATTTCAGGAAAATATCAGCCGGGAGCTTTTGATGACATACAATGATGCTGTTCACGAGCTATATGTAGATATGAGCATATACGGCGTTAATTTTTGTGGTTCGCAGGTTCTTCGATGGTTATTCGCATTGACCCAAGGGTATAATAATCGACTTACAAAGTCAAGCCAGTGTGTTATCTTGTACTTGACCCCTTGCCTGCGCGCACCTTAAACGCTGTCCAATTGCAAGTGACTGTCTGCATGCCTTGCCTTGCTCTCCGAATCGTATGCACAGAAAGCTAATTGATGTAAATCATAGAATCTCACTTGCTGAAGCAGCGTGACTCCAACATTGCTGGTATCTGCTTGTAACGATGCTCTCACCTTATCTCAATTACTTTCAGCACATTGTGTACCGTGTTTGAATACGTGGGGAACAACCTGTGTATTCGTATCGATTGCGACGGCATGCCGAGTGAAAGCCCTTTCCCTGTATATAACTTTTATATGCAACTACCAATACGGAAGCCCGCCTCTCACATTGTCTTTTGTTCCAACTTGTGCCAGTGATTTCGAATTGTAACACGCACCGAAGTTGGCCTCTGTTAACCCATTCACCATATAATACTTGTGTCTTTATAATAGAGCTCCGGACTGGTATATTGTGAAGCACCGAGCAAGTTCAAGGCAACGATGCAATCAGTCACTTCTAGTCTCTCGGCGTCCTTCACAAGGCCACCTCGCTATAAAATGCTCATGATTCTCTTTCTGCATCTTTCTCGAGACCGCTTCTCGCACTGCTTCAGCGACAAGTATCTGGAGAATATACTCAGTTGCATCGAATATGTCTGTCTTAGATTTTCCGCAGTACGCTGATGGCGACACCAAGCTCACCATCCACCCAGATGGTTACCGCTTGCATTCGAACAGGCTCTGCGAACACTCAAGGTTTCTGAGGTGCCTGCTAGGACCGCCAAACGAAGTCTATCCATTGCCACATATCCAGGGAATGGATAATTTGGGTGTTTATAATCTCTATCTTATTGGCGAAGCTGCCCACAAGTTCGGGGTCTTCCAGCTTCAGGTAAGTAGACGCCCTATGATCAGAGTATATCTGTGTCAGCTGGGATTCTAACGAGCACCTACAGGTGCCCCGTCAGTTTACGAGCGAGATCAGAGGCTTTCAGGCTGTGGATTACATCCCAGTCTGGCCTATGAAAACCCGTCGGTGTTGGGAGAACATCTTTAGGATGTTTTATATGCTGCCGCCAGTCCTCCACGATGATGGACCGGAAAAAAACTTTCTTGACAACAGTTGGAGAGTTGCTGAATTGGCGTCGGAGATCGAGGCGGAAGATTATATCTTTCCTATCCTCGGCGCAGCACTGGAGGGCCACGAGCAGGAGCTGTATTATTCTATCTCAAATGACCCGATCGGTTGGGTGAACTTGGCTATAAGAATCCAGTCACCCACGATATTTCGAGAAGGCATTATTCACATTGTTGGCCGCTGGAACTACGTGACGGATGAGGGCCACGCTTTGCTCCCTGGTCAGATCCGTGAGCTCTGTGAAAGAAAGCATAGAGATCTGCAATTCGACAAACGGATGATAGAAATGAACATCCTCAACCACCCCGTCGCTGATCCACATGATAGAGACATCTACATGTGGATGGCTAAGGCATTCCATCAGCAGTGGCTAGGAAATGCCATAGCTGAAGACCAAACATATCGTTCTTTGGATGGTGGGGCTGCGTTTTACCGCGCCATCAATGCTGGCGGCAATGCCTACCTTCCGGTGCTCGACCCCCAGACCAACCTCATCATACTGCCCATTAGGCAAGACGAGGTTGCACTCGTCGAAAACCGCCTGAATGTCTTGAAGAATGCTGTAAAGCATCTGGTTGATGAGCTACTGCGCAACAGATCGCGATTCAACCCCTTAGTATGGGGCGACTTACATTACCTAACATGTTGTGAGGTCAATCATAATGACATCCCTTGGCTGGCAGATAGGGCTGCACAGGAAGATATAGCTCTTATGCATACCATGAACACTGCTTTGCCCCTAATGTACAGGGACAATATTCAAACCGAGACACGTCAAATCCACACGCCTCGCATCCCCCAGATCGTTATCGAGAATCCTTTGCCGGAGAACAATCCTCAGATAGGTACCCGGCGTCTGGCATCTCTCTACTCCCCATCACTGGAAATATCCCCTGATCGCAGCTCTAGTCAGCCCCGGAGTGAGCTGACCTACACTGTCCATGAGCCTGACTTGTCATCGGATGACTCTCAGAGCAGCTTCATCAGCCCGCCTCAGTGGGATGAAGAGGATGATTCAACGGCGCGAACAGAAGCCGAGCACCCAGTGATACCGGCTTTCGATGATTTTATACAGACATATCCCCAGATGTTAAGTGGAGGAGATAATACCTTGGTGAATTATGCAAGCCCTGCCTTCATGTCTTCCAATGTCAATGTTGAAAGCCACGGACATAATACCCAGCACGATGGCTGAGGTTTGGCTCTGCAGTTCGTCCACAGCAGTATGTATTCTAAATCTGTGCTTCGGACTTTTCTTTATCTACTACTTCATTTTCATTTTCCTTCTCCTTTGTTTTACTATGTTCGTTATCATGTCGGAGTCTGTTCTTCAATCTTCAGTCCGATCTACTATGTTCATTTCATGTCTCAGTTTCTTAATTTGGGGTCTTAGTCTTTTCTCCTGTACAACAAGTTCATTGGTCCCTTACGGCGCAGCAACGCTTCTTTCGGCGCATTATTCCACCGGCCATAACGCATCTATTTCATGGTCATACCTCTCACCATAAAAACCAGACTCACGATACCAGCACAGACAGAAGTGAATAACAAAAAAAGAGATACAATTATGAACTCCGCTCTGTAACCATTTTCACATACAATAAATACACACACACACACATCTTATACCCCACCCACAGCACCTCACCCCTCCCTGCCAAAGAGCACAATGGGTATAAACATGCCCGACAGGAAGAAGGCGGAGGGGGCACATGCACACGTAGGAAAAAAAAAGATACCCAAAATATCCAGATCAAGGCTACCTCCGGACAAAGCGACGGGCCCCGCCGATACTTGCTCGTTGATTGAACAGCCTCCCTTCTCCTTCTATTCTATCCGCGCCGGAGTCGCACGTTGCCCATGGTTCAATGCAGAGCTAGTTGTCGGTCCTGCCCATCGGTCCGTCCATCCTATCCTTTCCATATCGCTATATCCGAGGTTAAGGTGGATTTACTCGTCATCGTAACCCTTCGGGAATGTGCGGGGACCGGCGGGGACTATCAATCGCAAGGCGCGAGCATGTCAGTATACACTACTAACTTCCCAAGACAGGCAGAGCCCGAATTGAAGAGTCGTCAGTGGAAGCGGGGGTGCAACATACTAGGATAAGACATAGGGATAGTCTCGGGGTCAACGTCACCCAAGGCACGTCTAAGCGGGGGCAAACCGACGAGAGCAACGGGGCCCATAGAACCGATGATAAGGGAGTAGAAAATGGCGGGACGTTCGTGAGAAGCCCAGCGGAGGTAGCGGAGAGGCGTAGACCAGAACTGAGGTGTCGACATTGTTAAAGGATTTTCTTGTTCGTTGCGGAGGTGTTCGGGTGTGTGAGGTAGTAGCGGAACAGAATGAATATAATCAATCTGCGGATGAAATCCTCTATGGGCAATTAAAGCCGGGGGTTAATTGAACCTGCGGAGAGGTAGGGCAAATTGAAGTCGGGGATTGCGACGCGGGCGAGGGGAAACGAATCGATGGAGGTTGATTGAAGGTGACGAAAGCCGCCAAAAGTGGATTTGCCGGGTCTTGGCGTTCGGTCCAAACACGTCGCCCGTTTGGGGTGTGTGTCTACGTATGTATCTACTACGTACTTCTTTCTTTTTGACGAGCTCTCATCGAACGACAAAACCATCATTCTTTTGTGGTTCGCTCGCCGGGATATTTTGTTTCTCAGTTTGTTCCCTCCGCTGTGCGGAAAATTAGCCACTCAATATGCGGTGGTCTCTTTCCTCCCTCTTTCTGTTTGGCTTCTTGGCTGTTGTACATGCGCTCAGTAGTTCGGGGAACCGTCTGCTCGTTGTTTTGGAGGATGGATCGGAGAAGGATCTTTACTCTACTTTCTGGAGTGATCTAGAAGGTATGTATCTGCAGGACAGGAATTGTAATTGAGAGTAATTGGCGTTGTGCTGATATATGCAATAGCTCGTGGATATGACCTCGTCTTCGAATCTCCCAAGAGTGACAAGCTCTCCCTCTTCGACCTCGGCGAGAGGGCTTACGACCACCTTCTTCTCCTGCCTCCTAGGTCCAAAGGTTAGCGGCGACTTTGGATTCGGATGTTATGCTACAGGGACACACAATTGACCGAGTGATCAGGATTCGGACCTTCTTTGAGCCCCAAGAACATCGTCGACTTTATGAACAAGGACGGTAACGTCCTCCTCGCGCTCTCGGGCAAGTCCACCACTCCCAGCGCCGTCAGCTCGCTGCTTCTGGAACTCGATCTTCACCTCGCTACCGACCGTTCGTCTGTCGTTGTCGACCACTTCAACTACGACACCCTGTCCGCGGCCGAAAAGCACGATGTCCTTCTCCTCCAGCGCCCCGGCCCATTGAGACCCGATTCCAAGGCTTTCTTTGACGGAGGGGGTGTCCTGGCTTTGCCTAGGGCCGCCCCTCACACTCTCGGCGACCACGCGCTCATTGCGCCTATCCTGCGCGCTCCGGCGACTGCCTACAGCTACAACCCCAAGGAAGACCTGTCCGCGGGAGAGGATGTCTGGGCCACCGGCTCTCAGCTGGCTCTCGTCTCCGCCATGCAGACCCGTGCCTCCTCCCGCTTCACCCTGCTCGGCTCCGTTGAGAGTCTCCAGGACCAGTGGTTCTCCGCAACCGTCAAGGCGCCCAACGGAAAGGAGACCGGCACGGCCAACCAGGAGTTCGCCAAACAGTTGACTGCCTGGACCTTCAAGGAGACCGGTGTCCTTAAGGTTGGCAAGATCGAGCACCACCTGGCTAAGGATGACCTTACTGCCGAGGACCTGAACCCCACCATCTACCGCATCAAGAACGAGACCGTATGTGCCTACTGACCAGTCCGCAACATAGCTGTCAACCCCTGCTGACGTGTCCCTATAGGTTTTCAGCATTGAGATCTCCGAGTACAGCCACGACCGGTACATCCCCTTCGAGGTGCCCGCCAACGATGCCCTGCAGCTCGAGTTCACCATGCTTTCTCCCTTCCACCGCCTGAAGCTGGAGCCCACCGCCCGCACCGAGAACAGCACCATCTACAGCACGCAGTTTACCGTCCCTGATCAGCACGGTATCTTCTCCTTCCGGGTCAACTACAAGCGCCCCTTCCTCACCAACATCGAGGAAAAGCACGAGGTGACTGTCCGCCACTTCGCCCACAACGAGTACCCCCGCAGCTGGAAGATCAGCGGAGGATGGGTCTGGATCGCCGGCCTGTGGTCTGTGATCGGCGGGTTCCTGGCCTTTGTGTTCGTGTGGCTCTACTCGGAGCCCGCCTCGGCCAAGGTCAAGAAGACCCAGTAAAGTAATGTATCATCTTAAAGATCAGTAAATGAAATCTGCTGCACAATGCACGTCTTAAGAAAGGACGACCCAAATCGTAGAATGCCCAAGTCAGTCTGCGTACAAACAGACCAATCAATTGCATATGTACAATCTAGTAGTATAGCATGAAAGTAAGAATACCCATAACCCGACAATCATACACACTATCAAGGCACGGGCACATGAGCGAAGTAGTCCCAACAGTCAATCAACCAAACTCCAAGCCAAATGCCAGCGAATACAACAAAAGCACAGAGAACGTGATGTTACAGCGCGCAAGGGAAGACCAGTCTGTGTCACCCACAACACCAGAATATAACTAAATCTCCTCCCCCTCACAGACCACGAGTCTTCTCCGGATCCATCTGCACCTCATCACCACTAATCTCCTTGACCGTCTCAAACGCCGGCTTGCCTGCATATAATTGCTGGGACGTGCTGGAGCCGCCGCCTTCCGTCGTCGATACCGAGATAGGCTGGTTTCCGCGGAACCGCTTGCGCATGTCGATGAGGCCGCGCCTGAAGATGAGGCATATTGTCAACTGACTGTGGAAGGGAAAGCTTTGAGGGATGTATTTTGGTCATGACTCACTTGCACTCGCTGAATCCCTTCCGCAATTGCTGGCATCGCATGGGAAGTTCGTCGACGTACGGCTCACTCAGACATTCGCGGGGCGAGCGCCGTTGAACCATGATGCAGTCTGATTCTTGGAGACATTGCGCCAGGGCGTTTCCTATTTATTATGAAAAGAATGGTTAGAGGGTGTGTATACCGGGGCATTATAGCTGAAGTTGGGAGGAGAAGGGACATTGAATGTGGTAGTAATATCCGGTCGTGGATACGTTTCCGAACATCCAAGCCGCAATTTAAGAATATGGAGGAGAGATGAAAGGATCCAACATACTGATCTCTTGGCAGGAACTCGGCATTTTGGGCGAACAATAAAGGCAAGGCCCGAATTGCTCAGCCAAATAATAACAAGTTAGGAACAACACCGGTCTGCGGCGGCGGACAATCTGGAGATGATTTGCTGAAATCGGAAAACAAACTCAACCAAACGGGCGTTGCCCCGGATTAGGTAAGCCATCACATGAAGAAGAAGGGGCCCCCATGACGTCTGGGGGCGTGTGGAACCTGACTTAGGTTGCTTGCCTCGTTCCGCTTGATTTATCCTATCCTTCTTCTTCCCATAGTCATGCGGTCTGAGTTTATGGAAGTATTGCTTCGGCGCATTATGGTTCATTACTACTACTGCTACTATCGGTGATAATTAATCTACGTGGTTGATTTACAGACTGTCCTATCCCTGTGTGATAATAGGAGGCTTGGTCTTATCGTCATGGCGCGCGTTCCGGTCATTGGACGGCTGTTTTGGTTCGAATATTTGGCTCTTTTTGGGTCGTTGATTCTGGTGTTGCTGGAATGGGTTATACATATTATCACGTTTTGTCTGCGTAAGTAGTGTGTTCATGCTTTGGGGTGGTGGTGTAAAGGGGCAAGAAAGGCTAACTGGCGCAGCTGAACCTATCATTAGGTTCTGTTACGATCGATCCAAGAATATCTTCAACGCTTTCATTCCCCCCGATGATCCGGCCAAACGCGGCAAGGAAGAGAAGGTTGCTGCGTCGGTTGCTCTGGCGTCCGACTTCACGGATATATGCGCGCTGTTTGGGTATGAAGCGGAGGAACATATCGTTCAGACGGGGGATGGATACCTGCTTGGTCTGCACCGATTGCCCTATCGGAAGGGCGAGGAGGGAAGGAAAGTCAACCAGGGTGAAGGGAGCATCAGGAAGAAGGTCGTCTATCTCCACCATGGTCTCATGATGTGCAGTGAAGTCTGGGTCTGTCTTTCGGAGGAGCAGCGATGCCTTCCATTTCAATTGGTTGAAAGGGGCTATGACGTGTGGCTGGGAAATAACAGAGGAAACAAGTACTCGAAGAAGTCCGTCAAGCACTCGCCCTTGTCGAACGAGTTCTGGGACTTTTCGATCGATCAGTTCTCGTTCCATGATATCCCAGACAGCATCAAGTATATCCTGGAAGTGACAGGGCAGCCCTCCCTGTCATACGTGGGATTCTCGCAGGGAACGGCACAGGCGTTTGCGACGCTGTCCATTCATTCTTTGTTGAACCAGAAGATCGATGTGTTTGTGGCATTGGCGCCGGCAATGGCCCCGACAGGCCTCCCCAATCATCTCGTGGATTCGCTCATGAAGGCTTCGCCGAACTTCCTGTTTCTGCTGTTTGGCAGACGGAGCATCCTAAGCTCGACGACGATGTGGCAGACGATTCTCTACCCACCTATCTTTGTTCGGATCATTGACACGTCACTTCGCGGCCTGTTCAATTGGAGGTGCAAGAATATCAGCCGCTGGCAGAAGCTGGCAGGGTACCTGCATCTGTTTTCCTTCACTAGCACCAAGTCGGTCGTCCATTGGTTCCAGATCATTCGACACCGGAATTTCCAGTTCTACGATGACGAAATCCATGCGCCACTGAGTATTGTTGCCAGTGAGCGATTTTACAAGCCGGTCAAGTACCCGACTAAGAACATTAAGACGCCCATTGTTCTGTTATATGGCGGTAGCGATAGTCTCGTTGATATCAACGTGATGTTGTCCGAGCTTCCCCGGGGGACCGTGGCGAAGGAATTCCCGCAGTATGAGCACTTAGACTTCTTGTGGGCGCGTGATGTGGACCAATTGGTATTCAGCCATGTCTTCGAAGCGCTGGAGCGGTACAGCTCCGAGAATCAGAAAGGGACATTAATGGAGAAGGTTAATGGTGCCGCGGGCACATATGTACCGGCATGAAGTACGAGGTTCTGCACCAATAGAGACACGCATAATCTAGAGGGAGATTCATACCCACCATCGCCAAGTTTGACAGCTTGCGTGTTTCGACTTGCGGATCTGACTGTCTCAGCAGATCACGATACGAGAGACAAAGACCATTGTTCGCCTTACTTTGTATAACTGTTTGCCTATAAAGATGTTTGTTTAGCCTTGATTGTTTTTCTGTACAGCACACACACTATACCAGCGTCTAATATAACCCCAACACCGCCAAAAACCTCACAAGCACAATGCGAAGCAATGCAGACCGGATGTCTCGAAGCTAGCAGACCTCCAATGACCTTCATCAGTACGGAGCACTTCAATACTACTTCGTTGCCTAGATAGATCCATGATAGATCGGCTCCCGACCCCTTCAGTGACATACGTCATATGTATCAAGCAGCAGCGCATTTCTTCAGATCCATATGCAGGGAGATGGTCCCAGTGTCGGGTCTGGTCTTGCTCTTCCCGTCCCCGACGCCTCACATCCACATGTGATGCATAGACCAACGCGTCCCCCATCACATCTGCACTTCCAGCAACCAAGCACGACCCAAACCAATGTTTGTGCAGCTCGACCCCCCAAGAAAATAATTATCCCAATGTGACACATCAGCTTGGCTTTCAATCATGCTGATACAACCACCAAGTACCAGTACCATCCTCCCCTCTTCCCCCCGGTCAGGTGGTTTATGAGATGTGGATGGTCTGATTGCCCTAGCGCACCATCAATGCGCGTGCACATCGGTCCAATATAGATTACAGATTACAATAAATTAATGATAGGCACACAGACAGCCTGCCTCCCGGAAGTTGGGGACCGGAAGTCCGGTGGCGGTGGTCCGTACTTTTTATCTTTCAGGACTTAACAAACCAATCCAGTCTACCAAATGGTCCTGAGTTCTAGTGCTGATGAGCAGCGATGGTGCCTCCCGCTTAGTTTCGGGGGTGCTTCCGTCCCTGGCAGACTAAAGTTGAGTTGGGTTGAGTTGGCGTCGGAATCTGCTTCCGGTTCCTGGAATCGGGCACATCCCGATGTCCTTTTGTTTTCTTCTTGCCCTTCTCCTTCTTTTCCTTTCTGACCTTTAGGAAGGGGATGTCTGGTTATTAGCTTGGGTTTGCTGCTGACAGGTAATTTTTGGGGCTTAGATGAATAACCTGCATAGCATCGTATGGGAAGGGGGGAGGAGTTTGTTTTGTTTTGTGCTAATGATGATGGAGAGAGAGATATTATTGCCATGAGAGGGGAAGAAGAAGATCGATCATTATGCTTGTCCTCGGGGCAAGACGGATGTGGGTTTTGGGACTTTTGTGAGTGATGTTCATGAGGTCTCTCCTTGTAGATAGAGAGACTCACAACAGAGTGAGAGAGAGAGAGATGGTGTACTCCGTACTCTGTACTATTGCTAGTTTCTGGTTAGATAGTAGCACATCCAGTTAATATTTATTGATCAGTAGTCGCCATGGCCTGTCCTGCCTGTCCGGCGTTTATCTATCTATCTGCTTTATTTTTTCCTCGTCCTTGCAGCGGCTAACTAGTCTTGATGATTTCCCCGTTTCCCTGTTTCTGAGACATTGCTAGGTATCTAGTAGCAATTGGAGCCCCGGCTGAGTGCATGTGAAGCTGAGTGAGTGTGTGAGTGAGAGTGTGTGTTGGCGCTGAAGAATTCGAGGTAAGGTAGGAGGGAATAATCCAGTTTGAGCTTCCATCATCCATCCTGTCATCCCCATCATTCTCCATCCATCAATCAATCATCCTTTTCCTCCAACCCACACCCACTCTTCCAATTCTATCAATCCACACACCCCCCTCTCTTCCCACCCCTTCAAACATGCCACATTCTTCTCATCTGCGAGGCTCTGCTGAGCTCATCAGGGCTGCAGATCTCGGGGGCGGCAAAGAAAGATGACTACTGTATGAGAAGAAGAGGAAGAAGAAAAATCCACCGGATCAGGGGATAAGGGAGGGAGCGAGATTCAATTATTGGCCAAGCCATGCCGCGCCCGCCCCCTTCTTGAGGGAGGATGGATGGATGGATGGATGCGCTGGGCTTTCTGCCCCCATCCGCTGTGATCAGTTGCTACCCTCTACGGTTTCCTGCCGATTCGGAGGTAGAAGGACGGAGGGGGGCGAAGGAGCAGGGAATTGATGGATAGAGAATGAGAATGAGAGAGGGAGACAGAGAGAAGGAGGGAGAGAGAGAGAGGCTGATACGATCTGATCTGATCTCAGACTCGAGAAATAGAATGATGGTGTTGTTTCTCTTTCTTGGGCCCCCCCCCCCTCCTCCCTTCTATCTCTCTTTCTCTTTTCTCCTTCTCTGCCCTCGAAAGTGATGCCCGTCAAGATGGGGGTCAACTACTACTTCCCTCTCTAGCTTATAACACCACAGCCAGCACCCTGCTCTTGCTCTACTATCTACTTGTTTCTTTTCGTTCTGGATCATTGGGACCCAAGCACTCAATCAACCAGAACCTTTCCCCATCGCCAGCTGCTAACTAACCTCGACTGTACTAGGGGCTTAAGGTTTCCAGAGTCGGCCGCACAACAAATCGCCGTTCGATTCGAGGCTCACCGCCGCAATTTGGGAAGAGACTCGGAGTCCCTGCCGTGCCTTTACTTTTTTTTGACTTTTTTTTTTTTGCTTTTCCCTCTCGTGCAGTTCTTCAACGGGGGTCTTCAGGGATTAGGAAAAAGACGAAACCGAGAAAAGAAAATATTTCAGAAACAGCAATTGATTCGATCGTCTCTCCGTTAGGCCGTTATTGCATCATATCGTCATCTTGCTGTGCTTGTCGGTAAGCCAAATTCGACGTTCTTCTCTGTTGCTGCTCTTCTTCAATGGAACTTACCGATCCTTTTCCTGTCCTCCCCACAAACCGAACCAGTCCGTGTTCGCTGACTTAGCCTCTGCTACTGCTCCTCTGCTACTGCTCTGCTACTGCTCTGCTCTGCTCTGCTCTGCTTTGCTTGTCTGGCTCTCACTCACCTCACTCACTCACTCATCCTCTCTCTCTTCCTTTAGTAAACTACTAGTGTCTTTTCTCTCCCCCGAAAGTCACCGACCGATCTGTTCAACAGCAGCTATCCTTCCCTACCTTCCCTCCTCTCCTCTGCTCTCCACCTCCACTCCCGCGGCCTTGCTTCAGACCGTCCCTTCTTCTGGCGCTTCCATCCTGCCAGCTCCCGGGGAATTGGTCGGGAATTGATTGGCATTGAGACCGATGTAACGGATCGCGTGTTGCTGCCCTTGCTCTCCCAGCACTTCCTCCCCGCCCACCCCCCTCGAAGGGAGTCCAGTCCACCTCCTTCCCTCCTCCCACTCCCCCCATTCCCCAATCTGCTTATTTCAATTCAAATTATCGGCGCGCATTGAACCTGAATCCACCGTCCACTCGATACCCTCACCAAGACTCAACCCTCATCTGTCGCAGCATTCGGATCGGGTTTAGTCTACGTTCCAGCTTCGACCACTGATTCCGCCCCAGGATCAGACAATATAATTGTTGGCTTAGAAGTTACCGGAAGCCTATCGGAGTCGACTCTTTCATTTCCGCATCGAATCATACTATTCCAATCGCCGATTACGCGGCTACCGTTCCAATGCGGCCCCAGTAAGCTCCGCCCCGGACTTTCTATTCCACTACAACCGATCGGAGGTCGCCGCAGTCGCTAACATACCGGATTTATCATAGACGGGAATACCATATCGTCGTTTTAGGTGCTGGTGGGTACATACTTCTGTGACAGACTATGAGAAAGGTTCACCGCTGACCATCGGTCGTTGTCGGCGCAATAGGAGGTGTGGGAAAGAGCTGTCTTACTGGTATGCTCCTGGTCGCATATACTTGTCGGGTGCTCTGTCATGGTCGCTGATGCTGGGTAGCTCAATTCGTGCAAAATGTCTGGATTGAGAGTTATGACCCTACAATCGAGGATTCATACCGGAAGCAGATCGACGTGGATGTGAGTTTGGCTTCGTCCTTGTCTGGAGATAGTCACTGACATTTCTAGGGCCGGCAATGTATTCTGGAAATGTATGTGTTGTGCGCAGCGCATTTATTCCATAGCGCAATTACATCACTACGGGTAGTGGAGATAGCTGACTGTTGTATCCAGACTGGACACTGCAGGAACAGAACAGTTCAGTAAGTCTCCGTGGACACGGTCGCATTCACACTCTCTAATACTAACATCTTCTTAGCGGCCATGAGGTAAACAATGCGCCCACCCTGGACCCCCTCCCCCCGCCCACTTATACGGGACGTTACCAACCGTTGCCATTTCGGGCCCCCTGCTGACGTTGGATCGCACTCCAGAGAGTTGTACATGAAACAAGGCCAAGGGTTTCTGCTCGTATTTTCGATTACGAGCATGTCCTCGCTGAACGAGTTGTCCGAGCTCCGCGAACAGATAATCCGCATCAAGGAGGATGAGAAAGTTCCCATTGTCATTGTGGGCAACAAGTCCGACCTGGAAGAGGACCGCGCCGTGCCACGCGCGCGCGCATTCGCCCTCTCCCAAACCTGGGGAAACGCTCCTTACTACGAAACGTCGGCCCGTCGACGAGCCAACGTCAACGAAGTCTTCATTGACCTCTGCCGACAGATCATCCGAAAGGACTTGCAAGGAAACTCCAAGGGCTCCGACTCAGATCGCAAACGGGAAGGTGGCAATCGGCAGGACCGTCGAAAGGACAAAAAGCGCCAGACCCGGCGTAAGGGTCCCTGCGTGATCCTATAATTAGTCCTACTCGCGACCTTTCCCCGACACGACGAAATACCACCAAATAAACGAGAGCAAGCGCATGGGCTAGCCCCCGGACCACTTACTATCTTATATCGCTCACCATTACGCACATGACTTACCCACTGCACACTGCACATACCCCGTCCACAAAGCCTGTCTAATGTCGAAACACCTACTACTATTACTACTTACTACTACTTATTCACCCACCGCATACCTGACCTTATCCTATGCCATGTTTCATCATACGCCTGTCCACGTGCTCCTACGATAGATATATGTGACTTATAGCCTCGAATATTTTGTTTCTTATACTTATTTTCTATTGCCATGTCCTACATTACTACATTTGTGACTTTTACGCCGGAGGAATGGAAAAGTGTAAATTTATTTTTCTCGATTTTACTCTTAAATAATCTCTTAGTCTACTTTCTTCTAATCTCTTCTGGCTGACAAGGAAGGCCCCGCATAAGGCTTTTACCGAAGGCTCCTAGCTCTGCTAAGACTGCCTTTACTTGGTCGGACTAGTGCCTTAGGACCGGCCGACAGCTTCTTTGTGTTGCTTTAAAAGCTTAGACAGCTTGTATACTGGGCGGGAGAAGGAAGGAATAGAAGAATATCCGAAGCTAAAATATAGTCATGATTCATTAATTCTTGTAGACCATCCCCAAACAGTTCCGTCATTACCGCCGACTCGCCAATCCCTGCCAAGCAAGCCTCTGGTCAAGGTCGGCTGCAAGTTTATAATGGACGTAATCGTCAATGCGAGTAGACCCATCCGTGCAGATAATCCTCTCTCGCATGTCTTCCATGTCCATTCTTAAGTAATTGATATATTCGCCCGCGGCACTAAGGTGAAGAATACGCCCAATGGCACGATGTAGTTCTAGTAGTTGAGGTGAAGGTGGCTCTATGTTTCTGTCGGGGGTGAGATAGAGCGTGCGGGTAACAGGAAGTCCGCGGTGTCGAATCATGGGGTTTGGCTTAGTATGGCCGATCTTGTACGAGTGTGGATGACCCTGGACTGGTTCAAAGGCAATATCAAAACGACCAAATGAGCGATGTAGGTCATGAGTTAAGGTGAGCGCATTCATAGGTCGGTCAATGTCAGTCCCGCTGATAGCATGGACAACACCCGGGTTGAACATCTTCAAAATGTGGTGAGCCATCTGTTTTCTTCTCTTTGTCTAGAAGACCAGTCAGCAAAAATGTCATAAGCTTAGATGACAACGTACTAATTGCGATCTCCCTTCAATGACACTATGAGACATGAAAGAATGAGGTATAATATGCGCGACCTCAAGAGGGGTCATGTCGTCACCTTCATGCCGCAAAAGATTCCCATCATCATCTTTGAAGCTCTCTCTATGTATATCGTATCGTTTTTCGGCCTCCTCCACGTCGAACTTTCGCGTTACAACACATCGATGCCGGTCACGCGTAAGGCAGGTCTTGCGTAAATTAGAAATTCGCTGCTGGGTACCAATAGCTGGATCTGACGAGTTTAGACTGATATGGGATATCGGTGTAAACTGAGGAGTCTTCGCGGCGTAGGATTTGACTAGACAGAGTGAATATCCTGTGATTCGGGTACAAGTATCAGTGACGTACGTGGTAAGAAAAAGTTATCCACCAGGTAGTTCGCAATATGAACTAGGCTTTGAAATAGAACATGTCGCTTTTCGGAAGTCCATCTGTCAAAATCATGCAATCGTGCTAGGGTGTCAGCCAGACTGAAGTCTGTCACTCCAGGTTGATCATGTTCAATGAGAGTAAAGAAGAAAATCAAATATTCGTCTTCAGCCGAGACCTCCTCCTCCATAAGGCGGATAAGCGTAATTGGTTTATAATCCTTGTATGATTTCTCCAAAGGCTCGAAATACTGGATAAGCTTGTTGAAAAGCTCGGTAGCTTTGTTGTGCTCTTGTGGGGGCAGGCATTGCGGGGAAGGAAAGATGACTCCTTCCAAGGATGAACGATGTCGGAGATGCAGAGTAACCATGATCGCTCAAGATGTTTGTAGCTTGTTTCTAATTCTCAAGCTTGTGTTAAAGAGGGTCTTGCGGATTTTCATTGTAATCTGAGGCATTGATGGGGGATAGTAACTCTCATAGTGACCGAATGATGCTTATCGGGCCGGACATATACTCCCTTCGGTGGTACTATTTTCCGGCACCCAAGGGCATAATAATTGGGGAAGGAGCGACACCATTGATCCTCCCGCACATCAGCGACCCCCAAGTTCAGAATTTGATAGCGTAAGAGCGTCGATACGCTTCATCAATCCTTTCCAAGTAGTATGTTCCCGGTGCCAGGGAAGCTATGTCTCCAGCAGGGGTATAGTTGTTGCTTCCGTATACTTTCAGTCGGAGTGCGCAAGCCTGGTTATATAGTGCATTAGTATAGGGCCACAAATGAAACGTTGTGGAAGTGTATTGACTTACCTCTTCATATTCCTCCGGAGTAGCGACATGTCTCTGCTTTAGACGATTCATGAGATCGATTTTCTCAACCATGGGGGCTAAGTCGCCTGTTACTTTCAGGGCGAAGAGGGTGCTGGCTAGGCCGCTGCCGTACTTTTTCATGACTTGCGTTAGAACCGATACAATTATAGTTGAATTTGGGGAAAGGTGTGACTTACACTAAACATGCCAATAGTCTTCCCCTGCGCAGTAGCAAGGTCGATATTACTGATCAGGCTGATAAGTGAGCAATAGAGACTGCCTGAGTACATGTTTCCACACAAGGATGGGGCAGTGATGCATGGTTCAACGCGTTCCTTGAACTGGTTCTTTGTTAGAGCTACGAGCGCTTTCTCTAGGTTCTTGTCTTTGAGGGATTCTTCGTAGGTCAGGGTGCGGAGCTCAGGCGGGATGTCGGTCAGGTCTGTGTCTGGTTTCGAGCTCGATTGATGTAGAAGATCGTTGTATTTGAGTCGACCGTAGGATTTGCTCACTAGTTTGCAATTTGGGGTGTGGAAGGCCATGTAGTCGAAGAGGTCGAGGACATTTTCAACGTTCTTATTGTTAGTGCTTCTGCGACGGAGGAGATCCTTGTGACATCCATCCAGTGCGCGAATATAACAAGTAATTGACTCATGGCCATTGACGAGAGGAAACTCGGCTTTGAGGTCTGGTTTGTAGAAGTCGTATGTGTGTGTCATGTAGACACCTCTGATGCTGTGGTCTAGGGAGAGCAGTGCGTTGGGACCCACGAGCATGGCAACGCAGCCTGCGCCACCTGTAGGACGGGAGGAAGACTCCTTGTAGAGGGCAATATCAGATGCTACGACGATGGCGTCCCGGCCGTCCCAGGACCGTGACTCGACCCAGTTTATGGCATTGAAGAGGGCGTTGGTCCCGCCGTAGCAGGCGTGAATGGTGTCAATACCTTCAATGCTTGTGTTGCCGGAGGGCTCGAAGAGGGTTGTAAGGACGGACTTGATGGACTTGGCCTTGTCGATTAGGGATTCCGTGCCTACTTCGAGACGTCCGATGGAGTTGGGATCGATGCTGTATTTCTTGAGGAGGAAGGACACGGCTGTCAAAGCAAGAGAGCAGACATCTGAACGGTTTGTGAGTAGGGGTTCTTGTTACTTAAGGATGCTAATAGTCTAATTCAAATGGAATATACCTTCTCTGTCGGTGCAGTAATTCATGCACTGGAGGCCTAGTCCAATGGTGTACTTGCCGGCGGAGACACCTTGGTATTGCTCGAAGAGGGTCTGATCCAGACACTGTTTAATCAGGCTATCAGACAGGCTCTTAGACAATGAAGAGTTGGAGTACCTGGGCTGGGACATAGATCTCCATGGCCTTGATGCCAACATTCTCTGGGTAGGATGCCATGGTGCGGATGATATCAGTTATGAAGGCAAGCTGAAGCTGTGTTGGGATGAAGATGTAGAACTGAAGTACTGAGATGAAACAGATTGATGCCCCCTTTTATAACTATTTCCCGCTGCTGCCTATTTGCTTCAGTATATATTGAAGCAAAGGTAAGTGGGTATTGGGGCTGTGAGTTTCTAGCCCTCCATCGTGTTCACACCGGTAACATCATAGGCACCTAGAGCAAGGACACAATGAGTTGCTCGGACCACGTAGCGAGAACTAAGCTGAAACTGCAGAATCGTATTGGACAAAGGAGCCTTTGCTAGAGCTACTAGCTGAATCCTATATTCACCGTTCTAGACATAGGATGAAGAGTACGGCGTATATCAGGTCCTGAGTATGGGCATGTCAGATGCACCAATAACTGTTGGCAAACCGCACAGCGGGTCTCCTAGTGAGATTCCTCATCGGTTAGATTGCTTCTTCTGATCGTCATGGTGCCGGATGAATGGATGTGAAAACCTGCTGGTCTGTTGTGTACTTTGCCATGTCATTGAAATCTGAGACGTTCTTGGCAAGCACCGAACTGATGGCCACGGGCACCAAGAATAGCAGCTACAAATACGATTCTGTCGAACATGAGGATTCAAGTTTGTTCAATCAATTGATGAGGATATGTTGTGACTGCAGCGTTTGCCATGTATACAAGCGACAAAAGCAGCAGCAGAACCGGGTCACGGTTGTGGTGAGGCCGAAGTGCTGAGGCGTCACTAAACCACATGATCTGCAGTTTCAACGACCAAATCGGTTTCGTTATAATCTCAAGGTCTGGTCTGATGATCATTTTGATTGGCAATGGGCTGCTAGTAGGATGCATGGATCATCGTAATGCATGTTTGGCAAACCAATGCTCGGAGATGAAATCTTCCCTATAAATCACAATCCTGCTGATACATATTCAAGTTACTATAGTCCTTCATTTTTAAATATGTTTTTGTAATCGGAAACCCCATATGACATCCCATAGCTAATCGAAAACCACCGTTCCAGAATAAAGTGCTACATAGCGGAGGCCAACAGAACAGGTAGTTGTTTTCAGGGCCGGAGAAAATCACTCGAATATAATTATCCATATCCTGTTTCATTTCAACTAAAGCACCTCAC